TTAACAATGAACCAACAGCTGCTCCACAGTGTATAATACCATCCCTCTGCTAAGATCATCTGTTGGGAAATTGACTAGATCTGTACTTTTCAAATGGAAACTAAGGAGTTACATGAAGCCACAGGATGATGAGGCACATCTTCATCAATTCTTTCTTCTTCAAGCACATGCTTAGGTACCATATAGAACTAAATCAGTTCTGGTTTCAACACAAGGTCCAGATCACATGATTCAACCTCTCTGAATCTCTCAATGGGAATATACCTATCCAACAGAAGCTGTCTTCTTGAGAGTTCCTGTTGTTGTTGTTGTTGTTATGTGCCATGGAGTCAGTTCCGACTCATAGCGACCCTGTACAGGGTTTCCAAAGCTGTAAATCTTTACGGGAGCAGAAATCCTCATCTTTCTCCCGTGGAACAGCTGGTAGTTTTAAACTACTGACCTTAAGGTTCGCAACCTGATTTGTAACCATTATGCTACCAGAGCTCCTTCCTGTTGTTGTTAAGCATGATGCTCTCCAGTGTTCCTAGAGTCCCTTAACTGAGTTTTGGATTCTTCTATGAATTTTCTAGACCCTAGAAACTGCTCTAATGACAAGATAGAGCCTTCAGATACTGCTGATTGATACTGGGTCACACTGGTCATCTCAACAAAGCCTGCATGAAGGTTCCTGGAAGCCTGGCCAATGGTAGCACTTGGGGCAAGAGTCTAGTAACCTTAATTATGTCTCAACTGGATGCCAAACATCAAATTTGCCAAGTATCTTTAAGACCTACCAACCAACCTGAGAGGATGGAAGTTGACTTAAAAATTTCTGTGAGGTAGCTGGTAGAATTGCCAACAAGGTCCACCAGGAGGGCTGTGAAGTCTGAAAGAAGGACGGAAAAGGATTATACTTCCGATGCAGATACTTGAGGGAAAAGTACAGATAGACTGTGATTGGAATTCTCAGAATAGATTTTATAGATCCGAGTTCATTCAGTGGGGAATACTGACAACCATACATAGAATGGTTGTTGTTATTTTTAAGTGTAAATTTCAGTCGGAAGGAAACTTGTGGATCTGCTGTTAGAGTCCCCTCTCTCCTCTCCTTTCAACTTCTTCTCGACTGACACCAAACAACAATGAAAGGCAGCTTCCTGAATGGTGATTTTCCCCTGTGTGGAGCAACCAAACTGAAGGTCTCAGACTTGGGGATAGTTTAACTGAAGGATTACAACTGATTAGTTGTGGTCCAGAAAATTGGGCTACTCTCAGGTCAGGCTGCACCCTGAGGAACTTGCAAAGCCCGCCTCAGGGAACAAGGAATTTGCAAAGTCTTTCCTTGTACACAGCCATGGCCTTCAGTTTAATCTGAAAATATCTAGCTGCCCAATCTTTGTCTCCTTAGCAACCACAAGTTACATTCCTTTGATAAAGTCCCATTTACTGCTTGTATCAATAACACCAGATGTTTTTGGCATGCTTCTCCCTGCGTCCAGCACCTTCTTTTGATATGTGTATAAAATAAACTTGCAGCACTAGGTCTGTGTCACAGTACCTTCATCAGAGTTCTGCGTCCCACCTGGTACCAACTTTACTATTTTAATTTGTGTCTTGTGTCTTCCTTTTTTTCTAATCCCCTGTCACCCCTATTCAGGTGTAATCTCTCCATGTGGTGCGTGGGGAATCGCCATTGTCGGACACAGCATTCCCCAACTCATCTAGCTTTTTTAGAATAGCAAATCCATCTGAGAGGAAGCAGAACCACAGATATGTAACATAAAATTATGGATTTTCAAATGCAATGTCAAGTTCAGCAGTGGACTATAGACAGTATAGACTATCAAAGAAACAAAGGTATTGTTTAAAATAACACCAGGAACCATTTCCTTCTGCACACTTTAAGTGGGCTGATGGGTGAAGACTAGGCCAATTCTACATTATTCCAACCTGTTAAATATTTGGGAACGTTCTCTTTGAGCAGGGTTTGAAGAGAGTCATTGTTTAACCTGGTGGGCACCACTGGTCAATGAAGCTCCTTTGAACCTAGTAGCTATCACTTCCTCCTTTGTTTATTTTCCATTCTCCAGGATAAAACAAAATTTTGGCTTCTAAATTAAGGGACAGGATTCTAGTAATCCAAAACAATGATTTTTCTAAAGAGAAAGCTTCTTGGGTCTGCTCTAAGTGTTCCCAGTCAAGCCTTACATACACATTTTTTAAATTGACAATTCATGTGATTTTGAGTTTGGACAGGAGCAAGTCAACATGATCTTAGAGAATTGGAAATATAGGACACAGAGAGGGAGGTCACATGACAACCAATGGCATGTTGACTAGTGGGTAGTACTGGATGTGAACCAGAGCCATGGTCCACCTTACCACATCTATACAGACTTGAGGGTGATTTCTTGATGGAAAGGTGGTGCTACATCACACGGGTGTAGACACTTGTCTGTGGAAAAGGCAGGCAGATGGGCATATGCCCCTCTATGTCTCTAGACAAATCTATTCCTAGTCATATTGGGGAAACTGAGGAAGAGTAGTATCTCATTATTTACGCTGTTTTGTTTTCTATCATTCAAAATTCTTTTTTGCTTTATCTAATAAGCAATCTAATAAATAAGCAACCAGCATGTCAGATGCGTGGTAGGCAATGGAGAAGAAAAGTTGTGTTGGGAACCATTCCTGTCCACAAGGAGCTAAAATCAGTGAGAGAGACAGACTCAAAAACAAACTTATGTCCTTCCAAAACACATGTCAACTTGGCTGGACCATGGTTCTCAGTGGTTTGGTGGTTATGTAAGGATGTGATCATCCCTCATGGTGTGATCTGACGTGATCAATCAATCAGTTGTAAGGGGATTAGGGTGAGACGTAACACCCTTACTCAGGACCCAGACCTGGTCCAAAATAAGGGGAGTACCCCTGGGTATGTCCTCTGTCACCTTTTATCTTACAAGAGATCAAAGGAGAGAAGATAAGCAAGCAAAGGGGACGGGACCCGATACCACCAAGAAAACAGAGCTGAACCAGAGCTCTTTAGAACCAGGGTGCCTGCACTGAGAACCTCGTAGGTGTTGGAGGACAATGCTGAAAATGCCACTGACTGCCAGAATTAACAATAGATCCATTGGAAGAAGTTCACCAGAATGCTCCTTAGAAGCCAGGATAGTGAGACTTGGTCTCTCATACTTCAGACATGTTATCAGGAAGGACCAGGCCCTTGAGATGGACATCATGCTTGGACAAAAAGGATGGAAAACTTCGTAATACTTTCTATGAAGCAATCATAACCCTCATACCAAAACCAGGGAAGGACGTCACTAAGAAAGAAAATTATAGACCACTATCTCTCATGAACAAAGATGCAAAAGTTCTCAACAAAATCCTAGCCAACAGAATCCAGCAACACATCAAAAAAATAATACATCATGACCAAATGGGATTCATATCAGGGATGCAAGGATGGTTCAACATTAGACAAACAATCAATGTAATTCACCATATGAATAAGAAAAAGGAAAAGAACCATATGATCATATCAATTGATACAGAAAAGTCATTTGACAAAATCCAACATCCATTCCTGAAAAAAACAACAAAGTAGGAATTAAAGGGAAATTCCTCAACATAATTAAGAGCATATATACAAAACGAACAGCCAACATCACTCTCAATGGAGAGAAACTGAACGCTTTCCCTTTGTGAACAGGAATCAGACAAGGACGCCCTTTGTCACCACTCCTATTCAATATTGTGTTGGAAGTCTTAGCCAGAGCTATAATGAAAGATAAGGAAATTAAAGGCATCCAAACTGGCAAAGAGGAAGTAAAACTCTCTCTATTTGCAGATGATATGATCCTATACATAGAAAACTCCAAAGACTCAGCAAAAAAGCTACTTGACCTCATTGGAAGATTCAGCAAAGTGGCAGGGTACAAGATCAACATACAAAAATCAGCTGGATTCCTCTATACTAATAATGACAGCACTGAAAAGGAAATTAGAAAAGCAATACCATTTATAATAGCCACCCAAAAGATGAAATATGTAAGCATAAATGTAACCAGTGAATCAAAGGACCTATACAAAGAAAACAACAAAACACTACTACAAGAAACCAAAAGAGACTTACAAAAATGGAAGACTGTACCATGCTCCTGGCTAGGAAGACTTAACATTGTGAAAATGTCAATACTGTCCAAAGCAATTTACACATATAATGCAATCCCAATCCAGATTCCAACGACATTCTTCAAAGAGATGGAAAAAACAATTACAAACTTTATATGGAAATGAAGAAGACCCAGGATAAGCAAAGCACTGCTTAAGAAGAAGAACAAGGCCAGAAGCCTCTCACTCTCTCATTTCAAAATTTACTACACAGCAACAGTGGTCAAAACAGAATGGTACTGATACAATGAAAGAGATATAGATTAATGGAAAAGAATTGAGAGTCCAGAAATTAACCCATCCACATACAGCCAACAAAAGTTTGACAAAAGTTTGACATTGCATGGGGAGGTGATAGTCTCTTTAACAGAGGGTGCTGGCAGAACTGGAAAGCGATATGCAAAAGATTGAAACAAGACCTTTGCCTCATGCCACATACAAAAACCAACTCAGCATGGATTAAATACCTAAATGTGAATCCCAAAATTATAAAGGTCATCAATGAAAAAATAGGGATAAATTTGAGGGCTCTAATACAGGCACACACAGACTACCAAACATTGTTAAAATTACACAAACGAAAGAAGACAAAATCAATGATTGGGACATTCAAAAATTAGAAACTTATGTGCATCAAAAGACTTCACCAAAAAATAACAAGGGAGCTCAAAGAACTGGGGAAAATATTTTGTAACAATGTATCAGACAAGGGACTCATTTCTAAAATCTATAGGAAACTACAACACCTCTACAAGAAAAAGACAAGTAACCCAATTTAAAAATGGTCCTAGGACATGAACAGACACTTCACCAAGGAAGAGATTCAGGCAGCCAACAAACATGAAGAAATGTTCATGATCATTAGACATTAGAAAGATGCAAAGCGAAACAGCAACAAGATATCTCACACCAGCAATAACAGTGACATTCAAAAAAGTAGAGGACAATAAATGCTGGCAAGGATATGGAGAGACTGGGACCCGCCTACATTGCTGGCAGGAATGCAAAATGGTCCAACCACTCTGGAAAATACTATGGCGCTTCCTCAGAAAGTTGGAAATAGAAATACCTTATGATCCAGCAATTCTTTTACCTGGTATTTATCCACAAGAAATGTGAGCCATAACACAAGTAGATATATGCACACCAATGTTCATAGCTGCACTATTCACAATAGTAAAAAGATGGAGACAGCCTAAATGCCCATCAGTGGCAGAATGGATAAACAAAGCTTGGTACATACACACAATAGAATATTATGCTACCTTGAAGAATAACAAGGAAGCTGTCAGCTACTACATAACATGGATGAACCTTGATGATATTATGCTGAGTGAAATTAGTCAATCACAAAAGGAGAAATATTGCATAAGATCATTATTACAAAAGCTTTAAGAAAAAATACCCACACTGAAAGGGGGAAAAAAAAGTCTTTGTTGGTTATGGAGGGGGGAAATGAGGGGAGGAAGGAGAAGGTATAGCACAGGGTAGGGGATAGACACACAACAGTTCAGGTGTTGGGGGGAGCAATACACAAGAAGGAGGAGGGTAATGGAAGAACAAGGCAGAGGGGAGAACATTTAGGCAGGTTTGCATGAGCTAAATGGGACAGAGGTAAATAGTGATGTATGCTCAACCTTGGAACAACAGGGCTCTGTGATACAGGGAATGAGGCATAGTCTGAATGGGCAAAAGAGGGGAAACAATATTAAGATGCTTTACTGTCTTATGAATATTGGTTTCCTTTGCCTACTATTGTAAAATAGACAGTTGAGGGGGAGGGAAAGGAATAGCCAGAAACATGACTATAGAAAGCTTGTAAATCTGTCTTCAGCCTGTAACTGATTGGACTACCTAAAAGGGGTGTTAGAACTTGCCCAATGAAAGAGGCTTCCTGTGGAGCCTTTGTAGTGTATAAGACCTAAGGTGGAATTCTGATCCCATCCAAAATCTTCATAGGTGGGAAATTTCCACTTGAAAAGACAAGCAGACCAGCCTGGAGTGGCTAGAAGAACAGAAGATAGTTCTTGAAAGATAGACCAGCAGGAAAAATAAAAAATCAATAACAGCAGTCTGATTGACTACTACAAGAACAAACAAGTTGTTTATTGGAGAGCCATGAAGGCAAGCAATCAAGTCCCTTCAGGGCAAACCCGCTTCCAATACTGAAACTCAGAGGGAATACACGAGCAGGCATGTAATCTTGCTGGTGACCACATTGGTCTACTGATGAGGGGAAGTGGGGGAAAAACAGCAATGAAGCTGTTAGCTAAGTCCAACCACGTTCAACAACTCCCATCAACCTATAGAGAGACCTGGTTGGCTATCAGTATGGTGAGACATGGGGACTCTTGAGCCCATGGACAAGGACATAGCCACAGAGGGCTAGAGT